AAATGTCTATATTTGGGTAGCACACAGTCCTAGAGGGAGCGAAATCCGAATGTATTTAAATAACTACAATTGGTTTTGTAAAGTTAGCAAGCAGGGCCACCAAAGGCTGGCGCGCACTTGCTGGGACACTAGGACTTTATTCTAGGTATGTGGCGCCCATGAGATCGCTGAAAGGAGCTGAATGTGGAGAGATCAACTGCTCGGCAAGAATGGCGGTGCGTTTGTGCACAACAAAAAAGCACTCTTGGGCGGACAAATAGCTCAGCGAATTAAACCACCTCCAAGCAGGTGCAGGGTCCGGATGACTGATTCCCCGGCCTGCGCTGCTGGCCCCGCCCCTGGGGCGCGCTGAGACAGCCAGTGAGACTGGGTGTGGTGGCGCGTGCCTGTAATCCCAGCTTTGGGGAGACTGTAAACAGGCGGATCACTGTGAGTCCAATCTAGTAGTGAGACCCTGAACACCCTGTAGACCCTTCCCTAAAATACAAACAAACAAACCCTTAGCTGCTTAAAAAAAACCACTACCCTGGCCAAGATGACACAAAACTGACTACATTAACTATAAATTACCCAAAAGGATCTGAGAACTTGAATTGTTTATATCATTATTATTTTGGGAGCAAGGGGAATTTCTGAAATACATACCTGCCACAATTCTGGACCCAAACCTAAAATCCAGGCTTTGGATCTATCCTAGAGGACAGAGGAAAAGCGTAACTGATGCCACAAGGAAGTGACAGGTCACATCAGAAACACACAAAATTCTGTGAACTGACCTAGTTTCAATAGTCCTGAAAAAAGGGGCATGGGGCCGGCTCTAGATAAAAAGTGACTCGAGGGCCATACAAAGCAAGAGTTTATGTGTAGCTGATCAGCCTTGCATGCCTAAATCTGGTAATCCTAGCAACAAATTTGATAACAATACATAATCTAACAACCATTGCTAATTTCCTATTACTGCTTTGAAATTCTGTATCATTTTTGTTTTATGTTGCTTTGTCTCTGCATTTGTTCTTGTTGCTTCTTTTTTCTCTTTAAAATAAAATTTAAAAAACATCAACTGCACATTTATATTTGGGGTGATTATTACAAGCGATATAAAGACTTCAACTGCCTCGCAATTCTGTGAAGTTTCATAATAGTACTGTGGTAACAACTGAAACATTTGACCTGAAAAAAGGCGGTTTTGTTCTGGATCGTGTGGCGAGGCAGAATCTGCACATGACAGCGTTACACCCAAGACCAGACTGTCCCACAAGTGACAGCTCAGATGTTCTCCGCCAGCCCTCTGCACGCAGATGTCACTAAGCTGGCCTGTGGAGGAGCCAGGGCTCTGGCTTTAGTTTCCCAGGCCCGGGATATAACAGTGCTACAAACACTAATACAATAAACAAGAATGCAGCGTGTTCTCAAAACCCAGTTCACAAGTAGGAATTTGTTTCATGGCTGTCATATCTTCAATTTCTTTTAAGAGTAGGGGCACTTCTGAACCACAGGTAGACGTGTCAGCGTAAGGAACACATCAGAGCTCGTCAGTACAGCAATCAGAGAGAGGAGGGTGAATGAGGTTATCTGGCTGAATTGTCACATATCTAATAAGGGATACTAAGTGCCTTCTCCAAAAAACAGCAGTGTTAGTTAAGGTGACACTCGCTGCTACAAAGGACAACCCTCAAACTTCAGAGGTTTGACAGACAGACACGCCCTTCTCACTTGCCTCAAGTCCAGCATCCAGCATCAAAGCCAGTAAACTCAAACAGGAGTCCTCCGAGAAGCCCTTCCCACCTGGCTTCCTCGCTCATTCCCCTCGTACAATCTCACGGGGGCCTTTTATTTCTCTGCACGCCATGACTGAGCTCTCTCTCCAACCAGCCCCCCAGTGACTTGTGAAAAGGAACTCCTGTGTTCTGTGGCAGACCACCACAGCGCCCTCCCCAACACCCTAGTGTGACGGGGTTTATTTACAAGCAGTGTAGTCTGTACGGAGGTGACTTCCCTCAACTGGCTTCCCACTTAATCGCTGAGCTGGACCGAGGCCTGCACGGCTCTTCATGAAAGCAGGCTGTTGACGGACTAGCGTCACTTGTTCCCAAGGCCACCGTCGAGCCCAGACAGAGGAGTGTGACACCTCAGGGCCAGGACGTGAGGGCCCATCCCCGAGGCCCACATGGCTCCTGAGGAAAAGTCCTGTCCAGTATTGGCTACGAAGCAGGTGGCTCCTTCACTGCAACCTAAGTCCAGCTGCTCCTGTCCCTTCCACAAGAGCGCTTTGCTCCCTCTGCTACCGGCCTTGCCAGTCTCACCTCACTGTTCTCTAAATTTGCACTAATTAAGAAAAAAGAAACCAACAGAGCTGGGCTGAGGTGGGAGGTGAGGCTGGTGCGTGGTCACCGTGGCCGAGTGGCCATGCGGCAGCCACAGGACCGGGCCGGCCCCTCCCCCCTCCCCCGCGGAGTGCTCAAAGCTCATCTGCCCTTGCGGTCAGTCTGGCAGAGTCCACGACGGAAGCCATGTGCGCACCGCCCGGGCTTCACGTCTCCAGCTCTCAAGAGCCATAAATTTAGAGAGAGAAGATGAAAAGGGCTCGAGTTCATAAAAGGAAAATCGAGTCCAACAGCTTCTGAGCAGTATGTTGGCTTTGGTACTATTCTGATGCACATTCAAGATTAGTGAAAAAGCTTGTTTAAAAATACAAAGCTTCAAGTCTTCTCCCTTGATTTGCTCTCAGCACTGAGAAGGCCACCAATGAGTCCAGTGCTTTCCACTTTTAGTCCTGCTTCTGCTGCTCATTTCATTTAAATATGATCCTTCAAAAGACCCCAATAAGGTGGCCCAGGACTGCCTTGCAGTTATCTTTGGCTTCACTGGTGGGTAGAATGGACACCAGGATAACTTTTTCTTACAAGCACCATCAGACATCTTCATTTTTATGATTAACCGATTAAGAAACTCTAGTCTTCTCTCTAACGTATGTGTGCACATGTGTGTGGGGGAAGCTTACGCAGCCATAACAAATTGCTTAAACCTACACACCTCTCATTAGTTTGGTTAACAAATGATGGTCGATCCATACTTGACATATAAAGTATGATTACCACACATCCATCAACAGGACTATGTAAATGGGGGTTCAACACAGATACAATTGTTTTAAAAGGTTTTGGAAACTGTATGGTAGTTTCAGGCAGCTGAGTTAGATAAGTTATAGGCAGTTAGAATAGGGATGGGCCCTCAAAGGACCCAGTGCATTAGACCAGACACCTTGCAACTGTGGGGAACACGGGCCCCTCCACTGTGGGCCAAATCTCAAGACAAAAGATAAATGCAGCCACCTACTTCCTAAGGATAAACATCAGGGATTGATATTCTGAATAGGTATCTATCACCCTGAGGAAGCCAGGAAGTCTATCACCCAACCTGGCTGCCACAGGAAAAGCCCCTGTATTCATGCCCGCTTGCTAACTTACTTTCCCCTTTGATCCCGATTTAATCAATTTTACCTGAGGAATTATAATCTTACCGATCATAGTTTTGCCCCACCTCATGCCCACCTTGTGATTTCCCAACTTTTCACTCCTTGGACGCACTGCATATCATAGATTTGCTTTACAAAAATCCCTAGGAAAGGCAGGGTCCTCAGCGACCCGCTTGGGTTCCCTTCTGTCTCTCTCCTGGACAGAAGCTGTCTTTCTCCCAATCAAGCTACTCTGCTCTTAACCTCCATTGTCCCTCAAATTCACTCTATGACTTTAGAGAACACAAACTCATATTGGACATCTGGCAGGTTGGGAGTGCCTTCCCCTCCGAAAGCACGTCACTGCTCACACTCATGTGCACATGTATGTATACACAGCCCCGAGCGGACAAAAATTCTCCATGTGATGGAATCAGGAAGGGTTATTTTCCTACTTTTGCTTTCTGCTTTTTCTACAGTAGTTTCAAAGTAGCACTTGTTCCTTTCTCCTGCTATGAAAAGTAATACATTTTCCCAAGTTTTCAGCAATGGATAGGTGGCATCTAATAGTTGTATCAATGAGACACACTGGAATAGGGGGAATGAACTCTGAATGGCGCACTCCTTTCCTCCTTAATACGGATGATACCGTTTTAAGATCTCCATGACAATTCACTGGCCACATCCCACTGCTCCTTCCTCTCTAGACACTGGCTTTCTCGAGCACTGAGGTTGCTCCCGAGATAGCACACAACTCCCTGAAGGCAGGGGCTTTGTCTGTGTTGTTCACTGGTGGAGTCCCAGTGCCTTGAACAGTGCCTGAAACACAGTAGATCTGCAGCCTGTACCACCTCCAGTATGACCAACCTTGTCAGATATATAGAAGCTCTCTATAATGTCTGAGGAAATAATGAATTAAAACATTTTTATTCCAATAAGTTCTGCTTATATTAATAAGAAACCAATGATATTCCATACAAATAGCATTGTTTTAAAAAATGTCATGTTTTCTGATGTAATGCCCTTTATGGAAGGGACTACTTATAGAAGCACATGAAAGCCTTGAGCCCTCCTCTTCCTGCCTCTAACGCCCTGACCCAACACACACAAAATCAAATACAATTCCAGGAAGTTCTGGAACTGCAGGTGTCTCTATGCACTTTATGAAGAGACTGCTGACCCAGGGTGAGAGAAGTCGGTTTAAAGGGTTGTCTCCCTTAGAATCATCATTTCTCCCCAATTCCAATAATCCAAGGAATAGAAGCGATTCAAGTGTTAGTCTCCCCCTTCCCACTAGCCAGTTAAATGATTCCTTCCACAAAGAAGTCAGTGTTAGAGCAGAATAAGTTTCATATTTGCAGTTGAGAATTTAACATCTAGATGAAAGCTGAAACTTCTAGTCAATTACTCAGAGATTGCAAAAAGTAAAGCTATTACTACACTGTAGTGAAAAGGTCTCATGAAGAGAACTTGTCACTTGTGAGCTGAAAGTCTGAGGTCACAATGCAAAACAGAAATAAAAAAACAAGACCAAGTCCACATAGAATATACTTTCTTGGATTTTATTGTTTTAAGAGCAAGTTAAAAAGGAACAATGCACATCTACTAAAGTGAAGTTTTCCATTAAAAGAGGAGAAATCAAGTCGTAATCAAGATCATCCAGCTAAAGACAGAGTATAGATCAGTGAGCCGGCAGGAGTGGTTTCAGACTGTGTTTCATTTCCACGTACACGGCTCAGTCGGAGGCAACCCGAGGCCAGGTGACCACGGCCAGCACTCGGTCTCTACACAAGGGCACGCACACCGCCTCCGTGCCCTCACTTCTTGATGTCTTCAGTCTCATCTGGCTCTCGCTCCTGATGCTCCCGTTCCCACCTCATTTCTTTTAGCTCCTGTCTGTATTTCCGTTCAATGAACCGCTTCTGATGGGCCATCTGGGGAAAGTTATCTGACACAAGGAAATACACACTTAATAAAGGACAGATGTAGTGCAAAGAACAATGATAAACATTCCTGTGATGCGCGCGGTTGTGTTTTGCAAGACAAGAGGGGAGAAAAGTTAGTTTTCTTCTGTTATTCTGAATCACCCTGAAGGTATGGATCAGGATCCTCTACTCTGGATTTCAATATTTGATGTGAACTTGATTATAAAAGGCACCAAATCATAAACAAAATTGAAACACAGATACTGTGGTCTTGGGATATTCCCAACCAGACACTCTTAACAAGTGATTTTTAGGCAGAGATTAAAAGACACAGGACAATGGTGTTCTGTTTTGGAAGAACTCAATCAAAAAAAAAAAAAAAAAAAAATTGTATTACCACTTCTTTATTTAACAAGAATTAAAATTGCTAAAAGAGCAAAAATATATCAAATGGACAAAAGGAGACCACACTCTAAGTCAGAGTGGCTGGTCACTCACGCTCTTCAAAGTTTACACTTAACACTTAACACTATATCTACGAAAGTAACTCAGTTAGAGAACTTTCATTTGACCAAAGGAAAAAGTATCATTCCCTGGCATGGTTAAAGCTCTACTTAGTTTACTATTTGATGCTGTGCAACAGTGTTAACAATATAAATCTAGACGAAGTTTTAGAAATGTTACAATATTGTTGTTATTTATGGTAGAAGTGTAGCCAGGATGTAAAAAAATCAAGTATAGAATGTAAAATAGCCACTTTATATTCTTGGTCACCAAGCACAGGTACGCAGTCAACACCAGAGCAGATGTGCACATGACCCAGAGACCCAGAGGAGGGTGACGCTGCTGTCTGTATCCCCGGAGCCGCCCTGCAGAAGGGGTGCTGCTCCCCTCCCAGCCCACACAGAAGAACCAGGGGAGGGAGGACTCGGCAAGGGTGGGGACGCAAGTTTGGTTTTCCTTGTTTTATGAATGAAGTGTCACAAAAGAGGATCTATCTACACATGGAATATTCCCAAATTCTTTTTTCTTTCTTTTAAAAATAGTATCTCATTCTCACACCATGCTGGACGAGGGACAGTCAGAGTAGTAGAAAAAGCCCTTAAAGGTTAGTGTCAGTAAAAATCTCGTATGTCTGAGAATGATGTTTTAACAAGAAGAATATGACCTCAGTATTTTAGAAGTAAAACAGTAACAAAATCCTACCCCTATACAATATTAAGTTGATTCCTTACATGTTATATGAATACAGGTGTCAACTATTCCACCTTTATCAAAAACAAACATCAAGAAGTTGTAAACCAAGTTCCTACAAAATGAATGCTATTTCTTCTATTGTAAAAGTGAATTTGTAGGGCCAGCCAGATAGCTCAGCAGACTAAAAGCGACTGTGTAGGCAGGTGCAGGGACTGGGGTTCGATCCCCAGCGTGCTATGCCAGCCTCGCTGAGGGGCAAGCTGAGACGGTGACTGAGGTTGGGCGTGGTGGTGCGCGCCTGTAATCCCAGGGGTTGGGAGGCGGAAAAAAGGAGGATCACTGCAAGTCCGATCTGTGGAGCGAGACCCTGTAGTCCTTGTACTAAATACGTTTTTAAAAAGTGAATTTGTATTGTTAAACACTCCCACTATTCAGCACTAACTGACAAACCTTTAGAATATATACTTTTTTTCTAAAAGGTAATGTTATGATACACAGAATAAATACATACACACACACACTACACAAATATCACAGACATACAAATGCCTAAATTCATTTCACTTTCCATCCTTACAGCTTTTCCTTTCTATTTAATTGCCATACAAGCACTTTCCCGTATTACCTGTTTTCAGACAGGCACTTATGCCACTGAGCTATATCCCCAGCCCTTGTATTTCTTGTTTTCAAAAACATTATTTTAACATGTTTCCACCAGCCTCAACCACCAATGATAACTGCATGACTGTCCTGTCAGGCTGCACCACCCACGGATCTGTCTCATGCCATCCACTGGGACAGTCACACATGTATGACCAACAGCTCAGGGCTGCCTGGCAGTGATACATGAATTACTGTCCCATCACAAACATATTAATGGCTACAAATATCACACTTTCATAGGGCAAGGGATAGAAACCTGCTGCTGCTAAGCCAAATATAACCCTTACCCTGTTTTGTAAATAAAATTTTACTCGAACAGAGACACTCCTGCTAATCTGTACACAGACTCTCTATGGCTACAGTGCCAGAGTGGAGTTACTGTGACAAGGTATATGGCCTATGAAGACTGAAATGCACATACTAAGCCCTTTACAGAACGTGTCTGCTAACCTGGGACACACCACGATTGATTAAACATTGCCTCAATGTTAAATGTACAGTTTGATTTTTTGCTTCGCTATTATAAATCAGATTGTGATGACTATCATGGTTACGTGAACTCCAGCCCATAACTCCAATTACTTCCTTAAGTTTGATCCCTGGAAGTGAAATGTGGGTCAAAGACTATGAACTTCGTGAAGGACCTGACCCGCTGCCAAGCTGCTTCCCAGAAGTGTGTGCAGCTGGCTCCCGCTGCTGTCTGCGGAGGCCTGCTCTGAGCAGGTGATCTCTCCAGGAAAGCCCCATCGCTCAAGACAAATGACCAAACCTCAGAAGAACCTCTAATACTTGTCTAACCGGAAAGTGGAATCTTGCTTTGACTTTAACACATGACTGAGAATTTCTATACACAATGGATGAAAAGTTCCCAGCAACGTCGATGCGAAACCCTCCGTGGGGACTCTCTGCAGGACGCGGGATGCCGGTGGCACCAGCCCTGTCCCTCCTCACCAACCTTGCCGCCCCGTCCTGTCTGCTGATTCCACTTGGCGCTCAGCCCTGCTGCCTTTCCTGGAATCCCTTCCCTGGCTGAGAAGCCGGGGCCTCTTCTCTCTCAGCCTCTGCACTCCGCTCTCTCTTAGCCCTTTCACTGGGCACTTGAAGTATAATGGAAGTGCACTGTCATGTGGTGCCCGCAGGTTCTGCTGCGTAGCACAAAAGGCCTCGAAAGAAAAATGCCCAGCACTTAAGCCTTCAATTTACGAAAGACTGTAGTTCCCCACATGGTCAATTATGTAACTGAAGTTTCTCCAACCCAGGCATTCTGCTCGAGAATCTATCCCACAGAACTAAAAGCACTAATATACATTTAGTGTTGACAATGATAAACACATGCACGCACGCACGTGCACACACACACACACACACACACACACACACACACACGAACAACATATCCACCAATAATACAAGTTGAATAAAGCACAACACATCCATAATAGCAATTAATAGTAATTAAAACCATTATGAAAGAATGAATTGGAGCCATTCCCTGACCTGCAAGACTCCCCATTATATGTGATTTAGCAAGAACAACATATTTATTATACAAGATAATAGTGTGTAAATAAATATAGACACATATAAATACTACCTAATTTTAAAAAACAATGGCCAGGGTCACAAATATTCACATGTTCAGTATATTTCTATGTCTATAAGAGATTTTAGAAGTATACAGAGATATATGGATGCAAATACTATAGTCTGCAAACCGTAAACTACCATGTTTCCATCCATCCATTTCTCTACACTTTTAAAATAGTTCCCTGGGTTGAGGGCAGCACTCTAAGCATAAAAGAAGAATAGCAAAAAAAGCACACTCTGGAATACTATTTTTTATTTTAATTATAAGCCCCTTTTATATGTATCTCACACTCTACTACATTCTGTGTATGGAGAATAATTATGAAGAAAACAAGATCACATTTTATCAGTACTTACCATTTTTCTGCTTTCTCGTTTTCTTTCCATAAAACGCTCATTACATTATAAACATACAATTACAGAAAAAGAGATAGTCTTACATTTTTCAAGTGCATCCATTGCCGCTCCCATTTCCGCTTGCTGAATGCTATTGAATAAAATAAAGGCAAGGTGCACTTTAATTTGAAGAATTTATTTTTTTTTAAACACAAGTTACGGCTCCAAAGTGTTAAGCCTTTTATGTTTGGTCTATAAAATCTCACCTGATTACTTCTAGGGTCATATATTGAATCGCACATGCAGGAATATACATGAGAGCATGAAAAAAGTCTTTTATTTGCACAAAGCCTATTTAAGATATTCATTCCACACTTTTAATGCTGCAATAAAATATGTTCTATTTATGTTAGGTCTGAAGCATTTTTTACTTAAGTTTGAATACCTTCAATGTAAAGTCTAAAGAGGAAAAGACAAAACATACAGAGACTGGCAAGATATGGATGGGAGGGTTCAACGAGAGCTGGTAGGGGCTGGGGAGATAGCTCGGCAGTCTAAGTGCCTGCCTGGCAAGTGCAAGGACCACGGTTCCCGTGCCGGCCCTGAAACGAGACGTGGTGGCACACGCCTGTAATCCCAGTGCTGGGGAGGCTGAGACAGGAGGAACACTACGAGTCCAAGCTGCATAGTGAGACCCTATACCAAATAAATAAATAAAAGATTTTTCTTTAAAAAAGAAAGGTGGTAACAGACATAATGCCTTTCAAGTAAAGATTCTGGGAGTACTGCTTAGAAATAAAGGGTCTCAGGCTGTGCTCTGTGGATGTAACACATCTGTGCGACAGCCTCACACCAACACACCCCACGGGAAGCGCTGCGTGGAGGCCGAGGCTGGACGCACCCCTTCTGGGCCCCAGCCAGGGTGGTTTTCTCCAAGAGCCCCAGCGGCACCGCAGGGCTCGCTGTCCAAGGGGTCAGCCTGGAGGGGCAGTAGCGTTTGGCCTGTGCTACTGCCTTCATTCTACACTGTAAGTAAGCAAAGACAGGCTGCCAAGTTGGGAAATACCAAGGAAGAACTGCATGCAGATAGGCTAGTCATTCAGTTCCTTTCCTCTCCTACCTTGGTCCTTTCCCACAACCTATTCTTTCTCCTTTGAAATACACAGCCACGGTGTAGGTTCTCGCATGGGACGGCCCCACCGTCTGCAGAGTCCTAAAGAGAAAGCAAAGAACAGCAGTTATGGGAAAGTGTTAATTATTTTTGCTATTATAGAACTCTGACAAAAAAAAAAAAAAAAAAAGTACTTGCTGCTGAGACAGAAGAAGGTAAAAATAACAAGGATGTAAAACTGGCAGAAAAGGAAGAGGGTGCTTTTGATTTGCTAGCCTAAAAAATACAGACAGCTTTTGAAGTAGGAAATTAAAAAAGTATGCGCTACATCTTTATATTTTTCCCCAAACTGAAGTGAATGGTGTCTGAAGGCTTACAGTGGAGGGTATGATACTTTTAAGCAACTTCTAAGTGTGCATATTTAAAGTGTCATAAAATCAACTTTAATTGTGAAAAGTTAACAGCTTTAGTCTGTTCTTTATTTTTCAGTGCTAATCACAGCTAAAAAGAATAAATATTTGGGTAAAGTATCTCGTGTCACACCTGAATGGTTTCACACCCTGACAGGTTCTCTCTAATGCGGTAGCATCTTATCTAAGAGGTCAGAGAACATATTTAATTCCAGAAGCATCTGAGATTGCTTCAGAGGTATACTATAAGGCCAAGGACACACCACAATCACCAAAATCAAAGCCCCCCCCCACTAGGGATTTTAACGATGTGGTACAGATTTCAAATGCAGTAAAACTGATAACTTCATGGAAAAGGGAAATTAAAAGTAGACAACAAAGATAATGACACAAACACAGTAATCATGAAAAAACTATGTAAAACAACCCCATCATCTTGATAACAAAGAACGAACTCATGGTGTACTCTCATGCAGGGGATTTATGCGATGGGAACACAGTAATTTCCTTTGTGCTTATAGACAGCGAGGAGGAAGACACACAGCGCCTCTTCAAGGTACAACTTATTATATAATCGTAGCTGCACTAGGAGAACTTTATCTTCCTACTTACTGACCTTAATTATCATGTTGATGAGGAAATAATCTGAGGCTTCCATAGACTGAGTTGGGATATCCACTGCGCTCATTAGGCACCTAATAAAGGGCTATTTCTAAACATTTGGGGCTTTTTCTCCCAGTGAAGAAAAGAAATGCTGTCTTATAGTGGCAGGCGCTTGGCACACTATGGAGCAGCTTGCTGCAGGATGACTGAACCTTCTCTTGACCTCAGTTCTGCTTTCAGCAAAAAAGCCTACAAAGCATTGCAACCATTAAATAAGCACATGAGAAAAGATTTCAAACTCCCAGCAACCACTCTGTGCTCTTCCTTGAGTATTTTGAAGCTTGCGAAGTCTACGGGGGTCTTTGTTCCATATGGAACCCACACGCACAGATTTGTGTGCTGTGACCATGTTTCCATAGACACAGGCTACACAGCGCTGAAACTAGATTTTTAGACGTCCTCAAAATCACACATTGACGTCACTGTGGGGTACAACTCATCTATTTGAATGACCCGCTCACTCTGCAATTCCTTTTTAAACCACTTTCTGAATCAACATAAAGACTGTCACAGATGATTACTTAACTGCAGACTCAAGCCTGTTTTCATCAAAACTGGTGTTACACGGTGTGGTGACCCGCCATGCACCTACATTCCTTTGCAGTGACTTCTGGCTACCTCTCAAATACAAGGCAGCTTTTGATTTAAAAAAAAAAAAAAAAAGGCTTGAAATTCTTGAGCAACTCAGCAGTAATGAACAACTGTCCTGCTTCTTACAGGGACCAAAGAGGGAGAAAATCCATCCGTGAGGCACCAGACAGGCCAACAGACGGTCAGCAAAAGTGCAGAGGGGCACACAAATGAGAGGTACAGCCCAGCAGAGGTCACAAGAAATAAGAAGACCAATGCAGAACTGTGTGTGAGAACTATTTACACTGAAGTTTCTTACCTTGATCTCATAACCTTAGATGTCTTTCTGGTAGTTTTCAGAGAACTTAGAAAAGGTAAAGAGATGATCGAGAGGGCACCCATCTACTTATAGTTAAGACTGAGAGGCCCAGAGCTGCTTCTTTGCGGGCCCAGCATCACACTGACGGTCAGAAAGTCTCCGTCCCGGGCCCTTGTGGTGACCCCATCAGTCGTTCGTCAAAGCACAGGGAAGATGGGCTCCAAGAGCGCGGAGTCCAGGCCTGCAGGCAGCAGTACTTACTTGTACAGGGGAATGTCTGGCTCTTTTCCTTCTGTCCTAAGTGTCAAACAGCACTGCTGCAGCTGCGACTTGGGGTCATTCCAATCCTGATTCAAAATGAACTCCTGTGGCAAGTCCACCAAAGGCATTTAGTAATAAATCTGGAGTCACCAGAAACAAAGTACAGCACTAATATAAACTTCCCATGAGCTTACTTTTAATCGTGGAAAGAAACAGACATTCATGAAAGTATGAACATACTCCAAATCCTTATCAATGTACAGCGCTGCAATAAATGCTGGGGGAAAAAAACAGTGAAAAATAAACCACAACTCACTGTCATTTACCAGAAACAGCAAGAAAGCGAGATTTTTAAGTAACACTATAACACGATTTTTCAACTTGCACCTTCTTTATTACTTAGCATCACTATATCATCTTTCTTCAGACAAGACTCTATTAGAAACAGCAAAGCAGATGAGTGATTAAGATGCAAAATCACACACATACAGAAACCAAACGGCATGTAGCTAAGGGCTAAGCAAACAGCTAAAAAGACACACAAAAACGTTATCTGGGAACACAATCGTGCTCACACTCAACAAAGCAAAGTACAGCTCCAAGATCGAGGGATAAGCTCATCCCGAGCCTGCTCTCCACACCCATCTTCAGGCCACCCAGGCGTAAGGTCTTTCTATTAAGTTTCACAAACAGAAAAACAAATGGGCCATTGAAAGCTCTGATCTTCCCAAAATGAGGAAAAACTTAGTTCTGGGCTTAATGACAATGTAATAATCTATACAAGCTTGTATTAATAAATACTGACCCCAAGGATGATTTCATTAAAAATAACTTTAATCAAGAAGACAAAGGGTACTTTGTTAAATGAAGAAATAAAAATACCTTTCACCAAGCTTTAAAAAATGCTGGTGACACTGATCCTTCAAGTAAGTTTTTATATAATCTTAATCTTTCAATTACTTTTCTTCAGGAGAGAAAGAGGTTTCTTTGATTTGTACTTTCTAAATGAACTGGTTTGCACAGTGGACTTTAGTATTCATAAATATTTCCAACTGTCAAAAATACTATGGCATAAAATGAAATTTCTAAGGCGCAGTGAGTATTCTACTACTTTGGAAATAACAGAAACAATAAAATTACATATATAAATCATTTAGAATTAATAGTGCCATCAGACCATATCAGCAACTGCATGAGACTTTACCTGTCTGAAGAGCTTTGTGCTCATTCAGAACAATGGATGTGTGGCCTCTGAGACAGCTCTGTGGACTAAAGCGCCTGCTTAGGCAAGCACAGGGAACCCAGCTCTACTCCCGGCACCTTGTGCCTCACTAGCCCTGCCCCTAGGGCGGACTGAGCCGCCAGAGTCTGGGCATGGTGGCGCATGCCTATAATCCCAGTGCTGGGGAGGCTGAAAGCAGGAAGAGCACCACAAGTCTGAGCTGCATAGTGAGTCACCACAACAACCAAATACATTCCAAAAAAAAAAAAGGATGGTAATTTTAGTACGTAGTGAATAAGTTACAATTCTTTATTCTGTATCTCTTTATGAAGGCTAGTGGGTGGGAAAAAAGCTGATTCACAATGACCAATCTCCACATGCTTCACATAACAGGACATGTCAGGATGGGGGTGGCAGGAGGTGCCGCTGAACACAGAAGGAACGTGAGATGCATTATTCACACTATCTCAGCTTCAACTTATTCTCCATCAAAGAAACACTGACGTGAAGCAATAAAAAAAAATAAAGTAGTGAAGTAGTTTCTTCAGCAAAAACCTAACATTGAGAATACTGGTCAGCTGGATTTAGATTTTGAAGCTACAGGCAAGAGGAAAGCTTGACTCTGCCAAACTCACATTCCAAGAGGTCTGCCAAGGTCTTGGTCCTCAGGGCCACGGGCCGCTTGGTTTTGTCGTTAGTTATGGCATATTCCTGCATGCCCAGCTCCTCTGCCACCTTGGCTTGAGTTCTGTTATTCACCAAAGAGCTTCGCAACAACTGGCCAAAAGGAATTGGGGCACATTTAGAAACCACTCCACTTTGGGTATGTCTCTAGCCCCAACCAGCCTGACAGTGTCACATGACAGAGACACCAGATACGTGAAGGCCTAAGTTCTCACCCATTTTCCTCTGACAATGACATACTCCACGTGCATCTAGTTTCTCACAGTAACACACTCCACTCTGCCACCTTGATTTTCCCTGAGATCGAAAAGGCCCGTCTACTTGCTATGGACCAGGGCTGGAGGGTATGCTGTACTACGATTAAAGAGCATCACTTCTACCAAGTTTAAATGCTACTAAATGAGGAAGGATTACATTTTTTAAAAATCAATTTCACCAAGATAATTTACATTCAAGGAAATGCACTCACTTAAAGTGTACAGTTAGACGAATCCTGAAGACCTCACACACTTCCATTACCCCACGCAAATTCCCGGGACCCCCACGCCCCGCGCAACCGGCCCTCCCCCGCTGTCACCGGGCCAGCTCGGCCTGCTTCCTGTCAGTGGACATGGAATTGAAAGGACCACTTTTTACAAGTCTAAAATAAGCATCAAGCTTCATGGCACTGATCCTAATTTTGATATTACAGGATTTAAGGTGATATTTTAGTAAGTATTAGGAAAAAGATTTAAATTATTTATTTTTATTTTAAAGATTTATGCTACCTACCCTGAAAATCAGTTTTTATGCAAAGATCTTTTATCTTTTTGGGGTAATGGTAACAGGAATTGAACTCATAACCTTGTACTTGCCAGGTAGGCACTTGTGCTGCTGAACTATCTCCCTGGCCCAGATCCTTTATCTTTAATTAAACTAAGATAGAATTTTCATATTTCAACTTTGAGAATTCCAACCAAAAAATCAGACATCTAAGGAGGGCTAAGGAGATAGCTCAGCAGTCTAAGTGCCTGCCTGGCAAGTACAAGGACAAGGTTTGATCCTCAGTACCAGATGCCGTGTTGGCCCCAGAACCCCAGGTACATCATACTGGCCACCAAAACCAGGCATGGTGGCACATGCCTGTAATCCCAGCACTGGGGA